CACAACCAAAAAAAAAAAAAAAAGAAATGAGAGAAAAAAATGGGGGAATTGTTTTTTTTTTTTTTTACAAGCTTACATGTAAATTCCAAAACTTGGGAAAATTTTGAAATAACAAATGCAGTTAGTATGATGCGCCGGCCCGGTGCAGCAAAACAGATGAATGATGCAAACATGCTCATACTGTATGCTAATTGAAAATGCCCTAATCTAAACCATCATAAGCAAGGTAACCCAGACAGTGCGAGCGCACCTTTGGTCGCTCGAGCCGTCTGTAAAAATACTGGATGCACGCGATGTACATTCGAGCGATAACTATATCATTTGAGCGGTCTGTTATTTTTCAGAATTTCGAATTTCATAAAAATGGCTTCCAAACACATTTTCAAAACCTAGGGTCATGCATGGCTTGCTTAAAAACATAGAAATACTTGAGAAAACACTATTGCATGACCATTTATAAACCATTTGCTCAAACCTCATCAATTAAAAAGATTGAACCCAAAACTTCCATGAAACAAACATGAAATGTTTTGTTCCAATTCAGGCGATCCAGTCTATACTTGTATGCTGTGTGCATCACATAGTAACCTAGGCTAATAACTGGTTTAAGGACACACAAAGTTTTCAAAAATATATATCATGGTTAGTAGAGGCCGATCTTTGATCGGGCGAGCGGGGGTGCTCACGAAGTGACCTTCCCCAATCGTACCCAAGTTCCCGAGCCGAGGCAACTTTGGTGATGACGGACACGTGGCCTTTGGAACCGAGTCAGGGTTTCCTAAATTTTCCAAAATAAAATATTTAGGTAGCAACTCTGTATCTGGCGAAGCAGTCCATGTTTGGCACTTCTTTCAAAAATCTGTTTTCTCAAAACGATTTGCCGGATTTGGACTCTTTGGTTCAGATTTAGAACCGTGACTACAAATCGAGTCCGAGCTGTAGCGAGGTCCCCTGCGGGCTTGTTACATCACCCCACGGAGACACACTCGGACGGATGAATCCTTTTTCCAGTAAATCTTGCAACTGCATTTTCAATTCTTTCATCTCAACTGGTGACATTCTATACGGAGTCTTAGAAATGGGTTGAGTTCCAGTGCTACTTCCATGGTAAACTCAGTTTCACGGTCTATTAACTACCCCGGTAATTTTTTTGGAAAGACGTCCGGAAATTCACAGACAACTGGGATCTTGTAGGTATTCTCATTCACCACTTGCCCCTCTAAAATACTGCATAAATACCCCTGACACCCTTTCTGAATTAATTTACAAGCCTTTACTGCGGAAATCAAATAACGTGGAGAAGTCACTCCATGTCCCTGAAAGGTAGACTCTGATTGTCCCGCAGGGTGGAAACTGATTTGTTTCGTCAAACAATCTATAGTTGCACCATATTCACCCAACCAATCCATTCCCAGAATAATATCAAAATAGGCCATGTCAAGAGGTAACGGATTGGCATATACCCGGATATCCCCAAGCTCAAGTTCACAACCAAAATAGACAGAAATGCAAAGCATAGAGTCTCCCAAAGGTGAAGACACACACAACATATAAGACAGTTTTTCTTCAGCTTTATCTAAGTTTTGTGCAAATAATTTTGATTCGAAGGAATGAGTAGAGCCATAATCAAATAATACACAAGCAGAATGACCGTGAACCATAAATATACCTGATACCACTGTTGCCGCATTCTGCACATCTCCTGGAACCAATACAAACACTCTGCCTAGTCTTGCTGTGTCTTTATTGTTAGTAGGTTTGGCAGCTGACTTGGTGTTGGCGGTTGGTGCAGACCCCGCTGAACTGGTAGCAGCCCTATTACCAGTTCGTTGATTTCTCTGAGGGCAATCCTTGATCAAACGACCCATTTTTCCACACTGATAACAGGCTCCAGACTTCCATTGACACGTCCCACGATGCTTCTTTCCACATTCCGAACAAACAGGAATTGTATCCTGACGAAGGGCAAAAGTATTTGAAGCCACTAAATTTTGTTCCTTGTCCGGTGGAATACTTGACCCCATTGACCATTGATTATTCTGCCTTTTCCCTTTCCACTCGGAGATCCGATTCTGAGCAACAAGGTTGGTAGCTTCAACATATTGACTCGATCCAGAATTGCTCCCCGTAATCCCCCTTCAAATTTATGTTCCTTCTTATAGTCCGTGTCCACCATGTGCGGTGCAAACCGGGCTAACTCGGCAAATTGGGCTTCAAATTCAGCAACAGTTTTGTTCCGTTGTCTGAGAGTTTCGAATTCAGTCACCTTCTTATCCCGCATGCTTTGAGGGAAATACTTATCATAAACAATTCTAAGAATCGGTCCCACGTCAATCCTTGGTGTATAGTCCTCGTAAGCATCCACCATCTGCGCGCCTCATCCTCAAGAGTAAAGGGATCCAGTTGCACCTTTTGTGCTTCAGTGCAAGGAAAAACTTCGAATAATTTCTCTATGCCCAACACCCAGGCCTTAGTTTTCATCGGTTCTATTCCTCCTCTGAAAGATGGTGGTTTCATCTTTAAACTCCATAGTGAGGGTAATAGTCCGGTCTTCAGCATGCAACTCTGGTACTACCGGTGGAGGTACCGGTGGCGGTGGTGGTGGCGGTTGTTCCTGTGGTTGTTGTTGCTGTTGTGGCTGTTGCCGTAAGGTCTCCGCCATTTCCATAATCATTCTCTCCATCCTGTCCAACAGTGCAGCAATAGCATATTCTGGCTCTTCTGCCCTTGTTCTCACCATGTTCTGCACAACAATCATTTATATACCATAGACATAATTCAAATTGTTAGCATTACCAGAGTTCATATAACGTTGCCATCAATCTTCTCATATACTTTCAGGATGTCATGCAAAATGCCTAAAGCTTTTCTAGACACTCTAAGGCTCAATGGACCCATGTGTGAGATAGCAACTCGTGCTCTGATACCACTTGTCACGCCTCCTGACCTGCCCCTAAAAGTTTGGGCATGACCTATTCAGAAACGGACATGTAACTTGGTAATATAACATACGGGGCCTTATTGGAAGCACGAAATATAAAAATAATGATACGAATAAACTCCATTGAGCTACTTCTACATGCCAGGATCTCATACATCACATGCATCATACTGGATAGATAACGTCCCAAACTATAACCCGGAGCATTGGTTATATACATACACATATACAGTCCCAGCCTTGTAATTGGGCATATACAAAACATGAAAGTTATATACATCAACCTTAGGTGGACATTCAAAAACAAGCCAACATCTTAACAACTTAACAAAATGAATGGCCTTGTATAGTGCCTGGACACATGAAGGTTGATAAAAGAAAGCGGGCGTCGTGGCTAGGACTGACCACCTGATTGGTGACCTATAGAAACAGACATAACAGAGACTGAGCCGGGCTCAGTGAATAGTAATACATAAAGAAAACAATGCTTAACTTGAAACATAATACATAACAATGCATATAAGGATGTAGAGTTCACATAGTTAGTTTGATTCTGTGGTAAGTACATGACGGCGTTAGGCCCAATCTTGTAACATAAATGTGATGGCTATAAGGCCTTGGAGCATGGTGGCACAAGGCCCTTGAAACATGTGGCATTAAAGCCCTTGAAACATATGGCATTAAAGCCCTTGAAACATGTGGCATGGAAGCCCTTGAAATATATGGCATGGAAGCCCTTGAAACATGTGGGCCATAGGCCCAGACATCATAAGAGTAAGCAAAGTAATCATACATTTACATTCCTGTAATCATTCGCATAAGTGCTTAATCAACATGTACAACAAAAGGCTAACGGCATTCGTTAACTTTAAGTAAAACGTACTACTACTCACAGTGTTGAGATGACGTGTTACTTCCTCCCGGAGTGTGCCCTGCACACACTCAAAACATGCACATTAGTTCCCTTCTCTTTCTTAAATCATTTACTGAGCTTTTACACTTTGCTTGAATTTACAACCATCTTAAGATCATCAGAAAAATAGTCTAAAAATACCAAAGAGTGAAACACGCAAAATTGAGCGATAAATTTTTCGGACCTGGGCCGCACGTGCGGCTGGACCCTCCGCACGAGCGGACATGCACCGCACGTGCGGTCCCCCTCCTCCGCACGAGCGGCCAAAAACAGTATGCATTTTCCATTTTTTCTCCTATTGGCCGCACATGCGGCCATGACCTCCGCACGTGCGGTGGTGACCCCTGTTTTGGGCAGCTCGACTTCAACACAAATTTTAGCAATACCAATTCATTTTTCATGCAAACCAAGATTAAACTAATGCAATACCTTAATCCAACATCACCAATATATGAATTACAACTTGAGCATCACAAGATAAACATGCTTAGAAGCTTAATCAAATCATAACCTTTCCAAATTCCATCCTTGGATTCAAATTCCTCACGGTCATAAAACATAGCACATGACATAAACATAATTTCATGGGGTTGGCATAAAAAACAAAGATTGAAGTATAAATTTCATCCAACACTTAAATTAGGTTTCAAAACAACCAAATGATGAGAATACCCTCTTTAATCAAACATGAATCATACACAATTCTCCATTACAACCCTAATAATATACATATGAAACTAACAAACCTTTCTTCACAATTGAAAGGAGAATTCCCATGTATAATTAATTTAACATACCTTGCGCTTTAAAAATTTCAAAGATCCTCCTAATTTAATCCCAATTCCCTTCCTTGTAGAACTTTGCCTTTGTTTCCTTTTTCTCATTTTTCGTTTTTCCTCTCCAGGAGATATTTCAAGTTTTTTGATCAAGCTTAAGAGGACTTGGATTTATATAAATTCATATATAAAAGCATATAGGACAAAATTCAATCGTTTAATCATTCCGAAATTGAAATTTCGTAAACATGCTTAATATTACTTAAAAATTATGCAGATCATAGATATATAATCAATTTCAGATAATTAAGCCGTTAAGGCTTCCAATTTCTGATTCAACCATTCTAGATGTAACAGGTACTTTTCTTGTGAAACAGATAGACATCCTTAACATGGAGTTCACTACTTAACCTTAATTTCTCATGGGATTTTATAGTAAACATTTAAAAGCACAAAACAAGGACTGAAAATATATCAGAAAACATGTACGAGGGTCGGGTTATTACACTCTCCCCCCCTTAAGTAAGTTTGGTCCTCCAAACTTGTTGTACCTTAGGGCAGAAACAAATGTGGGTACTGGTGTTGCATTTCCTACTCTCGTTCCCACGTTGTGTCGGTTCCGTAATGTTCTTGCCATTCCACTTTTACCATTAGAATTTCTCGGTTTCGCAAGTGTTTCACTTGACGGTCGAAAATGCGGATTGGTTTTTGCTCGTAAATTAACTTGTCATCCAACCCAATTTGGTGGTAATCAATGACATGTGACGGATCTAGAAGATATCCGCGAAGCATGGAGACATGAAACCCGTTATGCACTTGACTCATATTTGGCCGAAGGGCAACCCGGTAAGCTACTGGGCCCACTTTCTCCAAAATTTGGAATGGACCTACATATCGGGGTGTTAACTTGCCCCTTTTCCCGAATCTCGGATGTCCTTTCATCGGGGTGACTTTCACAAAAACATGACTATCAACTTCAAATTCCAAATTCCTTCGTCGGTTATCCGCATAGCTCTTCTGCCTACTTTGAGCAGTCTTTAGTCTTTCCCGAATGATTTTAACCTTTTCAGTTGTCAACTGAACAATTTCAGGCCCTAGCAAGGATTTATCTCCAACTTCAGCCCAACACACGGGAGAACGACATGGTCGTCCATATAAAGCTTCATAGGGTGCCATATCTATATTCGAATGGTAGCTATTGTTGTACGCAAATTCTACCAACAGTAGATGGGTTTCCCAACTTTCTTAAAAATCTAGCACACACATTCGGAGCATATCCTCTAGAGTCTGTATCGTTCTCTCGGATTGACCATCGGTCTGAGGGTAGAAAGTTGTGCTGAACTTTAATTCTGTACCCATTGCTTCTTGTAAACTTTGCCAGAATCTGGAAACAAACTTAGGATCCCTATCTGACACAATTGAGACCTGGACACCATGAAGCTTCACAATTTCATTCACATAAATCACCGCCAATTTATCTGCATGATACTGAGTTTTTACTGGTAGGAAGTGGGCGGACTTAGTTAATCGGTCCACAATGACCCATATTGAATTCATACCCCGAGGAGTCCGTGTTAACCGCACAACAAAATCCATGGTCAAATGTTCCCATTTCCATTCCGGGATGGGAAGAGGTTGCAACAAACCGGCAAGTCTTTGATGCTCTGCTTTTACTTACTGGCATGGCAAACATTTAGAGACGAACTCCGCGATCTCCTTCTTCATACTTCGCCACCAAAAATTTTGCTTCAAATCTCGGTAAATTTTAGTACTCCCTGGATGCATTGAAAGCCTTGAGGTATGTGCGTCTTCCATCAGTTTTTGCTTAAGGTTCAACACATTGGGGACACATACTCGATTTTGAAATTTGAGCACCGCATCTACTAAACTGAATCCCGATTTCGGTTTTGTTCTTAACTCATCACCTATCTTCCTTAGAGCTCCATCTTCTATCTGTTGCAATTTAATTTCCTCAACTAAGGTTGGTTGGGCCATCACTGCTGTCATTAAAGCGTCCTATCCATGTAGCACAAAGTCTACTTCCATCTTATCCAATTCAATTGCTAATTCCTTTTGCTCTGTAACCAAACTTGCCAAAGTCCCCATACTTTTCCGACTGAGTGCATCTGCAACTGTGTTAGATTTACCACGATGGTAATGAATCTGCAAATCATAATCTTTAAGAAGTTCCAACCACCGTCGCTGCCGCATATTCAACTCTTTTTGAGTAAAAAGGTACTTGAGAGTCTTGTGGTCAGTATATATTTCGCAGGTAGTGCCATACAAATAGTGTCTCCATATCTTTAAAGCAAAGACTACTGCTGCTAGCTCCAGATCATGCGTGGGATAATTCTTCTCATAGGGTTTCAGCTGACGAGAGGCATAAGCGATAACTCTCCCATTTTGCATAAGTACACAACCAAGTCCTTTACGGGAAGCATCACTGTAGATTACAAATCCTTCTATATCGGATGGTAAGGCCAAAACTAGTGTTGTTGTCAACTTTGTCTTCAATTCCTGGAAAGCAGATTCCCGCTCCTCTGACCATTCAAATGCAACTCCCTTTCAAGTCAGTTGTGTAAGTGGCACAGCAATTTTGGAAAAATCTTGAACAAATCTCCAGTAATAGCCAGCTAACCCCATAAAACTACACACTTCAGTCGAATTAGTGGGAGTTGGCCAATTTACGATTGCCTCAATCTTGTGTGGGTCGACAGCAACTCCTTCCTTTGTGATGATATGCCCCAGAAATGCCACCTCTAGTAGCCAGAATTCACATTTCTTCAGCTTTGCATACAGTTTCTTTTCCCAGAGGGTTTGAAGGATCAAGCAGAGATGATTCTCGTGTGCTTCAACATTTGTTCAATAAATGAGAATATCATCAATAAAGACCACCACAAATTCATCCAAATAGGGCTTAAAGACACGGTTCATCAGATCCATAAAAGCTGCTGGTGCGTTAGTAACTCCGAAGGGCATAACCAAAAATTCATAATGATCGTACCGGGTTCGAAAATCTGTCTTCTCAACATCAACAGCCTTGACCTTTAATTGATGGTATCCAGACCGTAGATCAATCTTGGAAAAGATTTGTGCCCCCTGAAGCTGATCAAATAGGTCATCGATTCTTGGCAATGGATACTTATTCTTGGTTGTGACTTTATTATGGTCCCTGTAATCGATACAAAGCCGGAGTGTTCCATCCTTCTTCTTTACAAACAGAACTAGTGCACCCCACGGAGACACACTCGGACGGATGAATCCTTTGTCCAGTAAATCTTGCAACTGCATTTTCAATTCTTTCATCTCAACTAGTGACATTCTATACGGAGCCTTAGAAATGGGTTGAGTTCCCAGTGCTACTTCAATGGTAAACTCAGTTTCACGATCTATTAGCTATCCTGGTAATTCTTCTGGAAAGACGTCCGGAAATTCACAGACAACTGGGATCTTGTCGGTATTCCCATTCACCACTTGCCCCTCTAAAACACTACATAAATACCACTGACACCCTTTCTGAATTAATTTACAAGCCTTTGCTGCGGAAATCAAATAAGGTGGAGAAGTCACTCCATGTCCTTGAAAGGTAGACTATGATTGTCCCGCAGGGTGGAAACTGATTTGTTTCGTCAAACAATCTATAGTTGCACCATATTCACCCAACCAATCCATTCCCAGAATAGTATCAAAATAGGCCATGTCAAGAGCTAACAGATTGGCATATACCCGGATATCCCCAAGCGCAAGTTCACAACCAAAATAGACAAAAGTGCAAAGCATAGAGTCTCTCAAAGGTGAAGACACGCACAATATATAAGACAGTTTTTCTTCAGTTTTATCTAAGTTTTGTGCAAATAATTTTGATACGAAGGAATGGGTAGAGCCAAAATCAAATAGTACACAAGCAGAATGACCGTGAACCATAAATATAACTGATACCACTGTTGCCGCATTCTGCACATCTCCTGGAACCAATGCAAACACTCTGCCTTGTCTCGCTATGTCTTTATTGTTAGTAGGTTTGGCAGCTAACTTGGTGTTGGCGGTTGGTGCAGACCCCGCTGAACTGGTAGCAGCCTTTTTGCCATTTCATTGATTCCTCTGAGGGCAATCCTTGATCAAACGACCCATTTTGCCACACTGATAACAGGCTCCAGACTTCCATTGACACGTCCCATGATGCTTCTTTCCACGTTCCGAACAAACAGGAATTGTATCTTGACTAAGGGCAGAAGTATTTGAAGTCCCTGAATTTTGTTTCTTGTTCGGTGGAATACTTGACCCCTTTGACCATTGATTATTCTGCCTTTTCCCTTTCCACTAGGAGATCCGATTCTGAGCAGCATGGTTTCCTTCAGTTGTAACAGCCCTCTCCACCACATCTACATAGGTAGGCAACTTCAACATATTGACTCAATCCAGAATTGCTCCCCGTAATCCCCCTTCAAATTTATGTGCCTTCTTATAGTCCGTGTCCACCATGTACGGTGCAAACTGGGCTAACTCGGCAAATTGGGCTTCATATTCAGGAACAGTTTTGTTCCTTTGTCTGAGAGTTTCGAATTCAGTCACCTTCTTATCCCGCATGCTTTGAGGGAAATACTTATCATAAAACAATTCCAAGAATCTGTCCGACGTCAATCCTTGCTGTATAGTCCTCGTAAGCATCCACCGTCTGCGCGCCTCATCCTCAAGGGTAAAGGCAGCTAGTTGCACCTTTTAAGCTTCAGTGCAAGGAAAAACTTCGAATAATTTCTCTATGCCCAACACCCAGGCCTCAGCTTTCATCGGTTCTATTCCTCCTTTGAAAGATGGTGGTTTCATCCTTTTAAACTCCTTAGTGAGGGTAATAGTCCGGTCTTCAGCATGGAACTCTGGTACTACCGGTGGAGTTACCGGTGGCGATGGCGGTTGTTCCTGTGGTTGTTGCTGCTGTTGTGGCTATTGCTGTTGTTGTCGTAAGGTCTCCGCCATTTCCATAATCATTCTCTCCATCCTGTCCAACCGTGCTGCAGTAGTATCTTCCTGCTTTTCTGCCCTTGTTCTCACCATGATCTACACAACAATCATTTATATACCATAGACATAATTCAAATTGTTAGCATTATCAGAGTTCATATAACGTTGCCATCAATCTTCTCATATAATGTCATGCAAAATGCCTAAAGCTATTCGAGACACCCTAAGGCTCAATGGATCCGTGTGTGAGATAGCAACTCGTGCTCTGATACCACTTGTCACGCCCCCTGACCTGCCCCTAAAATTTTGGGCATGACCTATTTAGAAACGGACATGTAACCTGGTAATATAACATACGGGGCCTTATTGGAAACACGAAATATAAAAATAATGATACGAATAAACTCCATTGAGCTACTTCTACATGCCAGGATCTCATACATCACATGCATCATAGTGGATAGATAAAGTCCCAAACTATAACCCAGAGCATTGGTTATATACATACACATATACAGTCCCAGCCCTGTAATTGGGCATATACAAAACATGAAAGTTATATACATCAACCTTAGGTGGACACTCAAAAACAAGCCAACATCTTAACAACTTAACAAAATGAATGGCCTTGTATAGTGCCTGGACACACGAAGGTTGATAAAAGAAAGCGGGCGTCGTGGCTAGGACTGACCACCTGATTGGTGACCTACAGAAACAGACATAACAGAGAGTGAGCCGGGCTCAGTGAATAGTAATACATAAATAGAACAATGCTTAACTTGAAACATAATACATAACAATGCATATAAGGATGCAGAGTTCACATAGTTAGTTTGATTCTGTGGTAAGTACATGACGGCGTTAGGCCCAATCTTCCAACATAAACATGATGGCTATAAGCCCTTGGAGCATGGTGGCACAAGGCCCTTGAAACATGTGGCATTAAAGCCCTTGAAACATATGGCATGAAAGCCCTTGAGACATGTGGCATGGAAGCCCTTGAAATATATGGCATGGAATCCCTTGAAACATGTGGGCCATAGGCCCAGACATCATAAGAGTAAGCAAAGTAATCATACATTTACATTCCTGTAATCATTCGCATAAGTGCCTAATCAACATGTACAACAGAAAGCTAGTGGCATTCGTTAACTTTAAGTAAAACGTACTACTACTCACAGTGTTGAGATGACGTGTTACTTCCTCCCGGAGTGTGTCCTACACACATTCAAAACTTGCACATTAGTTCCCTTCTCTTTCTTAAATCATTTACTGAGTCTTTACACTTTGCATGAATTTACAACCATCTTAAGATCATCAGAAAAATAGTCTAAAAATACCAGAGAGTGAAACATGCAAAATTGAGCGATAAATTTTTCAGACTTGGGCCGCACGTGTGGCCAGACCCTCCGCACGAGCGGACATGCACCGCACGTGCGGTCCCCCTCCTCCGCACGATCGGCCAAAAACAGTATGCATTTTCCATTTTTTCTCCTCTTGGCCGCACGTGCGGTCATGACCTCCGCACGTGCGGTGGTGACCCCTGTTTTGGGCAGCTCGACTTCAACACAAATTTTAGCAATACCAATTCACTTTTCATGCAAACCAAGATTAAACTAATGCAATACCTTAATCCA